GGCCTTACTACTAGGAGCAAGGACGCTACTAGGGGCTCCTGGCCTTACTACTAGGAGCAAGGACGCTACTAGGGCCATACTGGAACTTCCGGAACCAGGTAGCGTGACTCTGGCGCCACAGCGTGCACTTTCAGTCCGTTCTAACTTTGATCGACTCAGGAACCCTCCAGGTGGGCATGGTATGTCTTTGCAGAGCTGATTATTAGAGATTAAAAGCATAGACATGCAGTTAGTACAACTAGATTAGAGAACCGTTGGTTGAAATCATGGGAGACATGAGTGGGAAACTAGATCTGCACGACAACATACAATAAGTAAGTAGACTTGCAAGACAATCGTCCACAAAAACTAGCACCGTAACATACATACAAAATGCACACAACAAGGAATACAAAGGCAAACAAACACTAGAAAAGGTTGAATTGCAACAATAACAAATAGAACTATACACTGCAAATCTGAAGAAGAATCAATGGCAAAGGGAGGTGAAGTTGGTATAGTACATTCGCGAAAGGATGGATGGCAAAGACAATTGCTAGGCAAAATTAGACGCATAGACTAGACTTGCGGAATGGTCCGTTGCAAGCGTGGCAAGAACAAAAATGGCAGCTAGAGCCAGTCCGCAAGCTTTCCTGCGCAACTTGGTCAGTGTGCTTTTCTGATGTTGCATTATTGGACGACAGTTCTTCCACAATCCTTGCCTCATATCTGGTTTCTTGAACATCTCCTTTACAAACCTTTTGCCTGCCTCTGTGTTTCAACGGCCATCTCTCCAATAATCTGTCCATTATGTTTAATGGCTATTTTTGAAACGGTCTGCTTGTCTTCTCAAACTTCTCTTCTCAAAACTTTGTAAATGCAGCCCTTAAAACTGCGGGCCAAACGTAGCCACACCCTGGAAAACAACACATCAGCTAGTCAATCAAGAGTTCTCTGTTACTGTTCACAACTTTAAACATATAAAAAACAACATGCCAGCAACTATACCACTTCTTACTTCTTCAGAACACGTTCTAAATCTTGCATGGATGCGGAAAAAACAACAACAAACCCATTTAAGACTTAAAACCACACCCATCCACAAACACACGAATACATCGTGGGCGTGGTGGGCCACGACCAATCCCATCCATCGTGGAAGGGCCTTTGACGGACTCTTTCCGAAAACATCTTTTTGATGCGGATGCGTGCGGATGCGCGCACGGCCGCGAACTACAAGAAATCTTGGCGGCAAGCGGTAACAAAGCACGCTCTTTGCTGACCATGGCCCGTTGCCTCCCCACTCTTCCATTGTAAACGTTCCTTTTATGCCGCCAAGCAACGGGCACGGAACGCATGTAACACAAAAAACCACTGTTTTTTGCTGCTTCGTTTTGCAATCTGAAGGTAGTTAGCTCACCCTGAAAACACTCAATCTGATCTGTCTTTTGTCTTGAACTCGTCTTTCCAACTTGCCCACATATTAGGCCACTACGCAAGATCCTCAACGAAGCCGGTACCACCTGCCAGCGTCAACCAGCTCCGGTGCATATCACATGATTTTTGTGGTGGCCGTGCACCCTCAATGCACCCTCTCACATAAATATATCGGCCTGGTGATTTGGCTCATGAGAACACACGCATTATATAAATACACACACACACTGGCGAAATGCATAAGTACGATTTGGTCGCGCCACCTCCCCAGATTAAAGGCCGGCCTAAGTGAAAAAAGGGGCCTGAGTATAACATGTAAAGAGGTCTGATCATCCTGCAAGCAAAAGAAATCCTCAAGGTGAAAAAAATCAAGTGTGCAAGGCTCCAAGTTTCACGTCATAGAGCGAACGACAGAACGTGCAAAGTCTGCAAACATGGCTCCGCCTGAAATCTAGAGCGGGGCGTGGGTACTAAGCGTCACAACCAAATCACAACGCAGGCGCAACAGTTGGCGCCCCAACTTTCTTCCAACTGATGTCAATAGCTTCGCTGGCCCGGACAGGAATCAGTCTCCGTGCGCCCTGCAAAATGGAAAACTGACGGGTTACCTTTGATTCCAAGGTGTACACTGTATACACACTTAGGTCCATGCTCGCAAGAGCGATATCAGTTGAAATTTTTCACTGTAGTGATTACAATACCGGCTTAGAGCGCTGAAACCTGAACCTGTCAACGGCCATCTGCACAACGGAAAGGTGGCTGGGTCAGAGACAATGTGGTTTACATCATCGATAAATCAAGTCAAAAGTGGTGCAGGTGCGTGACTTGAGCGTCCCAAAGTCATATCACAACACAATGGAAAGGTCTTCGTTGGGCACCCCCCTGCAGTTCTGCACGCGGCCAAACACTGTGGTCATTCAGGAGGTGACACACACTTACAGCGAGGACGGGCAGTTGGAATATGAAATTAAAATATTTCCGTTCAACATTGATGCCCCAAACCTTCCAAAATCGATGACCCTGGGGATGACCCTCACAGAGAGAATATGGGCCTTTCAGAAAGCAGGGGAACATATTTTAACTGCCAGTCCAAAACCAGCAAAGCTTGGCCTCCAAACCTAATAGCGATAACCTCCAACCCAACAGCGATGGCCTCCAACTTAAGAGCGATGGCCTCCAACCCAACAGCAATGGCCTCCAACTTAAGAAATAGCAATGGCAATGGCATCCACCCTAATAGCAATGGCGAGCGATAGCCTCCAGCTTTAGAATAGCAATGGCCTCCAACTTAAGAGCGATGGCCTCCAACCTAACAGTAATGGCAACGGCCTCCACCCTAAGAGCGATGGCCTCCAACCTAAGAACGATGGCCTCCAACTTAAGAGCGATGGCCTCCAACCTAATAGCAATGGCAATGGCCTCCA